TATATATATATATATATATATATATATATATGTATATGTGTATATATATATATGTATATGTGTATATATATATATGTATATGTGTATATGTATATATATGTAGTAGCATCAGGACAAGTTTCAACCAATTCAGGTAGTAGGACACAGATTCAAGGCTAATGTGGTGTATCTACCACCTGAGGGGTTAGCATTGACTTATGACCAATGGTGTTCTCATTGATTATGGTAAGCAGAAGATTGTCTTTCCATAAAAGGAACAGGAATAGACAGTTTCATCTCATAAAGTTTTGTAGGATATCCGAGAAAAAGCTGCCTAGTCTAATCTTTTGAGTAACACAGCGTTTACAAGGTATACCATTTAATAGAACTATTGTTGTAAAAGGTCTTAAAATATTAAACATATTTTCACCAAACATTGTTCCCAAGCTATATAATATCTTATAGAGACTTATCATTGATGTTTTGCTAACGTGTTTAGCATAGTTTTTAGCATAATTCTCTAAAAGTTTTAAGTTATAAACAATATTTTTTTTAAATATTCATTTATTAAATTTCAAAACAAGAATTGTTAGACAGTTTTGTCTTTTTAGAAGATCTTATCTTAACAAGTTAAGATAATTGAAACATAGAAAAATGATATTTGTTAGAAATGTTAGATAACAAGAGAGAAATTCAACAAAATGTTACAAATGTTGATGGAAAAGATACATGTTCAACCTTCTATATGAACTACAACTCATTTTGTAGCCATTTAGAGTTTACTTTATTAACTTTTTTTTGATGAACTTTGAATATGAACTACATCTCATTTTGTAGCCATTTACATTTTACTTTATTAACTTTTTTTTTATGAACTTTGGATTTTTGTAATACTTTTAGTATTATCTTTACATGATAATTTTAATCTAGATACATTCAAAATATATTCTAATATTCATCTTGAGCTAATATTATTTTGGCTAAAATTTATAAAATTATAAAATATTTCTTGTTACAAATGTGTATAAATACATACAAAATATATTATTTTTTTATTAGTGACTAAATTATAATTGATATATCAGTCACTAGATTTGTTTCAAATTTAGTCACAGAATCACTCAATGAATCAATAACACAAACAGTTACAAATTTAGTCACCAAATCAATCACAAAATTTATCACTAAATCAATTACAAAACCGGTCATAAAATCAATCACAAAATCGACAATTAATTCGGTCATAAAATCAATCCCAATCAGTTACAAATTCAATCACAATCGCTTTCAAAATTGATCACTGAATTAATCATAAAATTGATCACTAATTTGATCAAAACATTAGTGACGAAAGATATAGTGACTGATTTTTTTCAATTTAATAACTAATAGTTTGGTCACTATTTTCTGATTTTCTTGGAGTGTGTTTCTTCCTCTACTCATTTTTTCCTACTGCTCAAGTGATTAATCATAGTCAAGCACAAAGATCGCCCAAGTATAATTCTGGACCAAAATGTAACCGTCATATCTTCCGGATTAAGAATTTAAAACTACATCTTTAAAGCCATTGATCCGAAATAATTGCATCTTTTTTAAGTACAGGGAAATACATGACATGTAGATGTATAACAACTTCGGTAATGCTACAAACCAAAAAGAATTACTACAACAATCCAATTCCCCTTTTGGAATAGATCAGTGCAGAAATAAATAAAAGTTACAATAAAAGGCCTTAATTCTTGTGAATCAGTAGATATCAACAACCAAGATAAAATTATATCCAAGCCAATGCCAAAATCAGATCCTTTAAGTACAGCTTCTCTAACTAGAGAAGCCTAAGATGTGCCGTATCATTCAGCCTTTTTATCTGCCAACCAGTTCTCAGAGAATGCTGCAAGACAGTCACCGATGAGTCTTCTATGCAAAACTTATGTGACATCAGAGGGCTACATCCAAGAAGACCAGTCAGGAGACACTTAATTGGCACAGAATGAGTAAATAGTCCTATACAAGCCACAGTAGGTGAAAAGCTGCTGAAGCCAGAATTATGCAGAGAACTTTGGTGGTTTACATTACCAGAAGAAATTTCTTCTTCAATTACATCACCAGTGTTTGTGACAAATTGTAGCCTGCTCTTACCAGACTTCTTCCTAGAGAACGCAGGCCGATGCCTGCTGAGCAAATCCCATTGGTTTGGAGGGAGAGAAGGTCCATCTTGGTCGTGAATTGAGTTTGTAAGAAGAGCATGGGAGTTGTGCTGTGCAAATGCATGGTTGTCATTTTGATGTGATGATAAATCTAACCTTAATTTTTCATGTAACCCCAGGACAGTTCCATTTAAGAAGTTAATCATCCGGAATTCTACTTGTCTAAGTGATTCACCAGAAGGTGCAGTAAAATCTGGCTGGGACCTGTCAATTAAGGCCTGAATTTCAGGGGTGTATATTTCTGATCGAAGGCAGCCTTCCCAATTCCCTTGACTAATCTCCCCAAGAGCATCCGAGGATTGAATTTGTTCCTCTGAAAAACTGACTTCCTGTTCATTGGAATTTTAAAGATTAAGATTTGATGCACAATATTCTGGAATGCAGCAAGTCCTTTTCTCATTTTCAGGAATCAACAAGTAGAGAAATGAAATTTCTTAAGACACATGAAGTTCAATGTAAAGTAATCATGCCATTACTGCAGACTTTAAGTTAAACTAATTTCTGGTGTTTATTTTGTGCATGCCTTCAAACCATTGAATACACTCAACCACATCTTTCTGAACAACATTATTCAGTGTCTAGCATCAAAATCATAGTAATAATTGAAGCTTTTACAGTTTCCAGCTTTTCCATCTTGCTTTGCTAAAACTGAGAATTTTCTATAACTTTTAGTCATACAAATCAGCATCCAACACAAGCAGCAATAGTCAGTTCTGGTAGCTTTGGCTTTTGCCCCATCTCCTTCAAAATTTCATAGATATGTTATGTAATCTCACATTTATTCATCTAACATCCATGTTTTCAGTAAACTGCAAGTGAAAATATTCAGCATTGGTCCTTTACAGTTATGCACATCACAGGTCATCCATTTATCATTGACACCCTCGATGATAATCAATGAAATAAATTTTATGCTTTAAGGTCAAAGTTGATGGCAAGAAAATGGCAGGACTAATTTAATGTGACACATGTCGAAAGACTAATTTGATGCACGTATCAATAGAGGACCATAATTACGTCACATGTATCCTTGAAGGATCAAAAGAGAGATTTAATGGTTTAAAAATGAGCTAGCAGGATACAGGGTGTGTAGAATCTTTAAAAAAGCTTACATCATAGTAAGAAGTGTCTGGCTATAGCATATTTTTCAAAAGCTGGTTGTAATCTGAACTAAAATTAAAATAATATTGTTTATTAAAAATTCTAGTTCATAATTGACTATTCCAATCTAAATTTATGGTGACTCTTTTCCTTTCCAGTGTTTCTCCTCCTCCGGCTAGGTTTAAAGGCTGTTAAAGGATGAGAAAATTTGGTAGCAACCACCTTATCCACCCAAGAATTAATATAAGCTGACAACACCAAAAGTTTTACAATTCTATATAGAAATTCAATATTAGAATCAGTTTTGAAGTAATTATTAAGTAAACAACAATTAGCCTTGACCTGTGATTAGTTTTATATGCAGAGGTGGTTTTCTTTTATACCATTTAAAACTAGTTATCAAAGTTGCAAAATATTGTTCCTTTAAACATTCCATTACTCGGCTAACATTATTATTACTAAATAATGATACAATCAGCTAAGATCTGGAAAATAAAACAAGTTACCCGACTTTCTTCCATGTATTTTATCTCGGATTTACCGTATGACATCATCCACTAATTTCATAATTGAACAAAATATTAGATTAACAATTTTTTTATACAGAAAGAATTGGAAATAAATAAACCTCTTCTCATTTTAGTGGTCTACTGTTCTATGACTTGCTAATTTTAAGATTAGAGTAGAAGTGGATGTATCCTCCTAATAACAGCTTAAGTAAGTTTTGTACTCTAATATTTAAAGAACTGATTTTTATGCCAAGTTTCATTTAGAAGGGCAATGATTTGAAGTTAATATCAATTCTCTAAAATATTAGAGGTGAAAACCAACATAAGCTGTGATCAGATGATATAAATTCACCTCTACTGTAATCTAAAGAGTAGCAGGGCTCCACAGAGCATAGTAGCCATAACAACAATCTAAAATAACACATGGTACATTGCTATGTAACCCATCCATCAGATACATCAATTCAGGAGAAGATGTCCTAAAAAGGTCACACATATTATTATACTAAAATAGGTTTAATTACTAGGATAGTCCCCAATTTCAGGATAGAGTGTCTACTTGGTCCCCGCTTTTAAAAAAGTATCCACTTCGTCCACAATTGGTTTAATGTGCATCAATAAAGTCCAGTTAGTTAATTTTCAAGTAACTATGTTAATAGTGTGGTGATGTGGCAAAACATTGTGATGATGTGGAAAAACACGCGTAAAAATATACTAAATAAATAAAAAGAAAAGGGTAATACAGTAACATCAACTATGCCACGTCATTTCCACTTTCATCACCTAAAATCAGAAACCCTAGTTCTCCTATATACCACGCCACCGGCAACCATGCACCACCAGCATCCACCGTGCCTGAAATCACGAAGTCACCATGGCGTTCAACCTTCATCATCGCAATCCCAAATCACGCCACCCAAACTCCACGGCCAACCACCATCAACCTGAAAACCCAGAAACAACCACCGCGCCAGAACCACCAACAACCTCTGACCTGCAAGTAACCACAAAAACCAGTAGAAACCCAAAAACAGAGGTAACGCCAACCCAATCGCGAGACCACCGAGAGCATCTCCTCCATGCGCCACCATTATCTTTTTTGTTCAACCACCCAATACCTGCAGAAACCCAGAAATTCCAATCACCTTCATCGCGAATCAAAGAGCTTGGAGATGAAGAAGAAGGTGAAGGTGAGAAGGAAGGGGAAATGGAGCCGAAGTATATGGTGTTGTCAGCCTTCTCGACAAGAGGACTGACTCGGACAAAAACTATGAAATTACAGGGATGGTTGAAAGGAAAAAGGGTGTTAACGTTAATTGATAGTGGCGCCAACAACAATTTTATTTCAGCAAAATTGGTGGCTGAATTAGGCCTGGAGGTGGAAGAAAGCCCTCCCTACAAAGTATGTTGGGGGATGGTCACAAGAAGACTACTAGTGGATGTTGCACCAACATTTTGGTGATCTTGAAAGGAGTAGAGGTGAAGGAGAAATTTTATCTGTCTGAACTCAGAGGAGTAGATATCATGGCTGGCTTCATTAGGGGAAGTCAAGATCAATTGGAGAAAATTAACTATGAGTTTTGCCTAAGGAGAAAGGGAAGTGATGATTAGAGGGGATCCTACTTTGGCTAGGAAAGTGGTGGCTTTGGAGGCTTTACTAAAGGAAACAGAAATTGAGGCTGACTTTAGTTTAGAGTTGTCAAAATATATTTTAGGAAACTTTAAATATTATTTCCATGTATTTAATTTGTTACATTCTCTGTATCTTGCTATTATTACTAGAATAACAATTCCACAATTTTAGGGATTTGTTCCATAGAATAGGCTGCTCATTCAATAAGCTCTTGTATATATATCCAATGCATGTAAGGAGACAAATAATAGAAAATAATATATTCTCTCTCCTAAATTTAAGATGGTATCAGAGCTCCCGATCCTTGGGACCGTGTGTTTTGATTGCAGCCTTCATTGTTGCCTAACCCTAGAGTTCCATCACAGCCTTCATTGTTGCCCAACCCTAGAGGTCCATCACAACCTTCATTGCTGCCCAACCCTAGAGTTCCATCCCAGCCTTCATTCCTGCACATTATCAATCTTCGTTTTTGTGTCTTAATTGCACATTTTTGTAATGGCTGAAATGGAAAATGTAGACAAGTTCCAGAGTACGGGAGAATTGCAGAATGTTCATTCAGCTTATAGATTTAATGGAAAAAATTATCTTAAATGGTCTCAACTTATTAAGACCATTCTAAAAGGGAAAAGTAAGGTCAACCATCTCACTGAAGATGCCCCTGCGGAAGAAGATGCCAGATTCAAATCATGGGATGAAGAAGACTCCATGATCATGGCATGGCTATGGAACTCAATGGTTCCGGAAATTAGCGATACATGCATGTTCCTCACTTCTGCAAAGGCTATATGGATTGCAATAGAGCAAATCTACTCTAAGGCAAAGGATGCTGCCCAGATTTATGAGGTGAAAGTAAAAACAATGGCAGCCAAACAGGGCACTAAAACTATCACAGAATATGCTAATAAACTCAAACCTTTATGGATGGAGTTAGATCTTTGCAGGGTCATAAAGGCCAAGTGTTATGAGGATTCAGCAATTCTAAGAGAATACATGGAACAAGATCAGGTGTATGATTTCTTGGTAGGCCTAAACCAAGAATATGATCAAGTCAGAATTAAAATATTAGGCAAGGAGAAGGTTCTTGGACTCAATGAAGTAATGGCAATTATTCGGAGTGAAGAAAGTAGAAGGAGTCTAATGCTAGAGACCCCAATTGCGAATAATTCAGCAATGCTTGTTGAAGGAGCAACAGTCATGGTTGCAGAACAAAAAAAAAAGTAGGTCCTCTTCCCAGAACAGAGAAGAAAAGTGAAGGAGTTTGGTGCACCTATTGCAACAAGCCACGTCACACAAGGGATAAGTGCTGGAAGTTACATGGAAAACCTCAAAGTAAAGATTGGGGACACAAAGGAGGCCTTCCAAGGAGAGGGGGGCAAGCTTATGTTGCTACTGTCCTAAAAGTCAGGAAGGATTTGTACAACTAAACCATGAGGAGTTAGAAAGAGTAAGGTCCTTTCTTAGTAAATTGGAAAAACCCACAGGTACGTGTTCATTGACATACTCTAGTAAGTTTCCATTTTCTTGTGGATTTAATGTCTCAAATACCCCATTTGCCCATTATTGGATACTAGACTCTGGAGCCACAGACCATATGACACCATTCCCTAAACACTTCTCCACATATTCCCCATGTCCCAGCAGCAAGAAAATTTCTACAACTGATGGAACCCTCATAATTGCAGCTGGACAAGGAGATGTCCAATTAACCCCAACCATAATACTAAAAAATGTTCTTCATGTCCCTAAGTTATCTATACAAAAACTTACCAAGGACCTCTTATGTAATGTAGGTTTTCATAGTAACTCTTGTATATTGCAGGACAAGAAGTCAGGGAGGACGATTGGACGATTGGATGTGTGGGGTCCCTCTAATAGATGATTGTACAAGGGTAACATGACTTTTCCTTCTTAAACACAAATCTGAGGTCAACTCTGTTTTTCTCTAGTTTGTTTCAATGATTAAAATCAATTTGGGGTTAATATAAAAATAATTAGGTCTGATAAAGCCAAAGATTACTTCAATCATACTCTAAATTCTTTGTCAAAAGGAAGGAATAATCCATGAATCCTCATGTGTAAACACACCCCAACAAAATGGGATTGCATAAAGAAAAAATGGGCACTTATTAGATCAAACTAGAGCTCTTCTTTTTCAAAATAATGTTCCAAAAGGATTTTGGGGGGAAGCTATTCTCATTGCTACTTACTTGATTGATAAATTACCTTCTACTGTTTTATCCTCAAAAAGTCCCATGGAAGTCTTAAACTCGTTCTACCCACATATAATCCATACAAATAACCTTCAACCTAGAATTTTTGGGTGTGTCTCCTTTGTATATGTTCATAGTAATGGAAGAGGAAAACTTGACCCAAGGGCAATAAAATGTATTTTCTTGGGGTACTCAGCCACACAAAAAGGGTATAGGTGTTTCCATCCCCCATCCAAAAAATTTTGTGTGTTAAGAGATGTTACTTTCAAGGAACGAATAAGCTACTTTGACCAATCTCATCTTCAGGGGGAGACTTTAAGAGAGGAAGATGAGCCTTTTATATTACCAAATCTGTCTTTTGGACCAAAAACAAAAACTCAAAAGGATATGACTACTATATGTGAGGCGGAAGCTGAAGAAGAACAAGTAGAGGTGAATCAAATACCTCACTCTACAGGACCAGCAACTAAACCTCATGATAATACAAAATTTGGGAAAGATTTGGTGTACACACGAAGAGAAAAGGCCATTCCAAGATCTACTCATGTTCAAGAATCCAACCCTACAACATTACCTGAGGTAATTCCTTTTGATCCTATAAATTCTAACTCTACTGCTTGTGATGAATTTCCTTCTGAAAAGCCAGTTGAATAGATAGATCATAATTTAGACCTCCCAATTGCTCTTAGAAAAGGAACCAGAACATGCACCAAACAACAACCTTACCCCTTGACAAATTATCTATCCTTTGAAAAATTCTCACCTACCCATAACCTTTCTCACAAGCCTAAACACCACAACTACACCTTCTTCTGTATCTGAGGCATTAATTGACAAAAAATGGAAACAAGCCATGAACTTGGAAATGGAGGCGTTGGAGAAAAACAATACTTGGTAGCTAGTCTCCCTACCACTTGGAAAAAGGGTTGTTGGGTGTAAGTGGGTTTATACAGTGAAGTACAAGGCTGATGGGACTATTGAGAGGTATAAGGCAAGGTTGGTAGCCAAGGGATTCACCCAAACATATGGAGTGGATTACTTGGAGACTCTTGCACCAGTTGCCAAAATGAACACGAACACAGTTAGAGTAATTTTGTCATTGGCAGCAAACTACAATTGGGAATTGCAGCAATTTGATGTAAAAAATGCATTCCTACATGGGGATCTTGAAGAAGAAATATACATGGAAATACCACCCGGGTATACGGGACAGATTGAGGCCAACACAGTTTGCAAATTAAAAAAGGCGCTATACGGGTTGAAACAGTCACCTAGAGCATGGTTTGGGAGATTCACCAAAGTTATGACAAGTCTTAAATACAAATAGAGCCAAGGGGACCACACTTTATTCATCAAACATTCTGATTCAAGGGTAGTGACAATACTATTGGTCTATGTGGATGATATAATTATTACTGAGAATGATAAAAAGGAACAACAAAGGTTGAGCCAATGCCTTGCCAAGGAATTCGAAATCAAGACTTTAGGGAAGCTAAAATATTTTTTGTGGATTGAAGTAGCCCATTCCAAGAAAGGAATCTTCATATCCTAACAAAATTATATCATTGATTTGCTACAGGAAACAGGTCAAACAACTTGCAAACCATCAAGTACACCTGTAGATCCAAATATAAAGTTGGGAAGTGCAGAGGAGGATGTGTCTGTGGATAAAGAAATGTACCAAAGACTTATGGGAAGACTCATTTACCTATCTCACACTTGGCCAGTTATTGCTTTTGCTGTGAGCTTAGTTAGCCAATTTATGCACCAACCAAAGGAAGCACATTTACAAGCTGCACTTAGAATTGTCCAGTATTTAAAAGGGACTCTTGGAAGAGGAATTTTGTTCAAAAGAAATAAGAGTGTCAGTCTTGAGGCATATACAGATGCTGATTATGCAGGTTCAGTTGTGGATAGGAGGTCAACTACTGGATATTGTACCTTTCTTGGTGGAAACCTAGTAACTTGGAAGAGCAAAAAACAAAGTGTGGTAGCTAGATCTAGTGCTGACTTGGAAGAGCAAAAAACAAAGTGTGGTAGCTAGATCTGGTGCTGAAGCAGAATTTCGAGCAATGGCCCAAGGAATATGTGAACTTTTATGGCTAAAGATTATATTGGAAGATTAAGGATAAAGTGGGATGAACCAATGAGGTTATATTGTTATAATAAATCTGCAATAAGTATAGCACACAACCCAGTACAACATGATAGAACCAAACATATTGAGGTGGACAGACATTTTATCAAAGAAAAGCTTGACAGTGGCTTGATTTGCACCCCATATGTGTCCACTCAAGGTCAACTTGCAGACATACTCACCAAAGGACTGAGCAGTAGTAATTTTGAAAGAATTATATCCAAGCTGGGAATGGAAAACACTTATTCACCAGCTTGAGGTTGAGTGTCAAAATATTTTTTAGGAAACTTTATATATTATTTCCATGTATTTAATTTGTTATATTCCCTGTATCTTGCTATTATTACTAGAATAACAATCCCACAATTTTAGGGATGTGTTCCATAGAATAGGTTGCTCATTCAATAAGCTCTTGTATATATATCCAATGCAATAATAGAAAATAATATATTCTCTCTCCTAAATTTAAGAAGAGTCTAGAAAAAACAGAGCTGGAAGAGAAAGAGCGAAGGGTGGATCAATTATCACCTAGGCAGTCCACAAAACTTGAGAAGATCTTAGGGAAGCGTGAGAAGATTTTCAGGGAACCAACAAAGCTACCACCCAAGAGAGACCAGGATCATAGGACCAATTCCCAAATTTCAACCTTGAGGACAAGGTTATTCTAATGAGTAATGATTGGGTCTTAAGGGTTTATGTCAGGAAAAAGGGGGGAGTTGGTTAGGCAGTTATGACAGGAGGTTGTTTTAGGAGTTAGCTAGGATTTAGCTATATAAGGGGGAGTGTCTGTCAGGGGACACGTTTTTGTATTGTTTGAAGTTGAGACAGGATTTGCACATCCTGTGAGGGAGGAAGACAGGCTTCCTTGATAGTGTTGTACAATTGTTGTGTTTTCTGAAATAAAGAAACAAGTTCTTTGTTGTGTTTCATTTTCTGGAGTTAAACCAGAATAGTGTTCCAGGTTTCTTGCTCTTAAGAAACCTAACATCCTCTAAGGTAATAAAGAGTTGATACGACTAAAATAGGGCATATATCCTCTTTGTGATCAAGAGTTGATAGAGTCTAATATCCCATTAGAGTTTGATATGCTCGAGTGTGTAAAGGAGTTCCTAGATGTTGTAAATTTGTAGTACATGTTATTTGTACAATTTGTTTTATAGTGGAACCAGAATTTTAAGCTTGAAAAACTAAGACTAGATGTAATATTTGTTGATCTGAACCAGTATCAGTCTTTTTGTGTTTTCCTGTTCCTACTCCATCTTCTTTAATTGTATAGCTATCAATCTTGATTCTCAAATGTAACTGCATTCTGGTTTTCTGAACTCAAAGTGTGTTAAAATATTTAAAGATAGGGAATCTTTTGAAGAAAAAAAGTTTTAAAACCAATTCACCCCCTCTTGGTTTAACAAAGTCATTCTCTCTTTTTCTTACAAACACTACATACACATGAAATGACACACCACATAAACAATACAATGTACATACAAAAAACAATAATAAAGCCCTCTGTCTAGCAAGGTCAGCCACATGAATGCACCATTTAAGCAGGCTCCGTTATGATACTATGTATACAACTAATACAAATCAACATTAAAGACAATTCCATATCAAAAGAAACAATGCTCTAAAAGCAAACGAGTCGGTATTATTGTAGACATAGTAAAATGCTATAGTTTGTCTAATTACTGGAATATTCTCATCTATCTTCTTACAAAAGCTTAAAAAACATAAAATGCATTTAGAAGCATTAAGAATACATGGCAAGAGGAAATCTAGAACAAACATATATAAAAACAAATATTTTGAAATGTAAGTGATCCTTGCACTTGCAAACTATCATGACCATTCAAACTAAATATTCTCGTTTATCGTTCTACAAAAGCTTAAGCAACATAAAATGCAGTTAGAAGTATTCAGAATACATGGCAAGAGCACATGTTGAACACATGTACATAACACATTTTGAAATGTTAATGATCCTTGCACTTGTAAACAATCGAGCACATTGATACCAAGTATTCTCAGTTACCCTTCAACAAATGCTTAAAAAATATAAAATTCAGTCAAAATGTAAGTGATCCTTGAACTTGCAAAAACAATTAAGCACATTCAAACTAAGTATTCTCACTTATACCTCTCCAGAAGCTTAAAAAACATAAAATGCAGTTAGAACCATTAAAAATACACGGCAAGAACGCACGCGGAACATTCAAAATGCAAGTGATCCTTGCACTTCCAAAAAATTGAGCACATCCACACTGAGTAAAGTACCTTTGACACTGAAACCGCCGTGGACCGCGCCCGATCAAGCGGCGATGAATACACGGCGCTGAACCGAACCCCCTGCGACTTGAGGAACACGGCCAGAGCCCTGGCCTGGCGCATTCCATTGGCGGTAAGCGCGGCGGCAGGGCAGCGGCCACCGACCAAGTCCGGAGCCAAATTTAACTCGCACTCACCGTGGCTGATCAGGAAAACCTCTGTCACAGCCTCGTCATCCGGCACCATCCCGTTCGCGGAGAAGCTCCGCGAAAGTGCAGGCGGCGACAGCAGCGGCGGCTGCGGCCCGAGGACGTTGTAGGGATCCCATACCTTGATCGAGGGGCCGAGGCGCGGCGTCCCGAGCGAAGAGAGCTGAGGTGAGAGCGGCGACGCAGAGGCGTGGCACGGCAGCATCTCCGGCTCCTGTTCGAGAACCTTCTTCACCATGTGGTTCCCCAATTGCGTCCGGCCCAATAGAGGCCCATTGAGGTTCCTCTCATCTTCTTCCTCCTCTTGCTCTTCTTCTTCCTCCTCTTCTTCGCTCTCTTCGTCAACTTGCAGTGAATGGTTCGCGCCCATTTTCAGTGGGTGTCGGATCGCGCGAGATGCGGGGTTTTATCGCTCAGATTTGAAGCGCATCAGTGGGGAGGGAAAGTGAATGAAAATCGGTCGAGAATGGTGAATGAATGGAAATGAAAAGAAGTAGATCTCGCTGAGTGTGGTTTTTTCGATCTTCATTGGATGTGGGTTTTCATGGCGTCGTGGATCTTCGTAGCTAAAATCTAATCTACCTTGTCAGTTAAAAAAAAAATAAATAAATAAATATATATATATATATATATATATATATATAGGGGTTTGCTAACGCGTGTACGCCTGTTTTTCAGTTGGTACATTTTAGCAATGTGTACCGGGTTTTAGTAGACAAAAATATCCTTATATATCATGGATTCTAAGTTTTAAGGTTAAGGGTATTTTAATAATTTTGATTCTCAAAACTTAAAAAAAAAAAAAAAGAAACTCCTAAACCCTTGCTCACCTCTCTCATTCCTCTCAATCCTTTCTCTTTCATCTCTCTCACTCTAATCTTTTCTCTGTCATCCCTACTGTAGTCCCAATTGAAAAAATCAGAAACACTCTACTGTCTCTGTCATCCATACTGGAGTCTCAATTGAAAAAATCAGAAACACCCTACTGTAGCCCCAATTGAAAAAATCAGAAACACTTGCCGTTAAACAATCTTACAAAAAAATGATTTTATAATGAGTTTTGATCTTATAATTTTTGTCTCATCTAATTTTATCTAATTTTCACAAGCATAATGACATCAGAGGAATTGGTAATTGGCCTGGAAAAAATCAGAAACGCTCGTTGTTAAACAATTTCTTACAAAAAATGATTTTATAATGAGTTTTTATTTTATAATTTTTGTCTTATCTAATTTTATCTAATTTTCACAAGCATAATGACATCAGAGGAATTGGTAATTGGCCTGGAAAAAATCAGAAACTCTCGTTGTTAAACAATTTCTTACAAAAAATGACTTTATAATGAGTTTTCATTTTATAATTTTTGTCGTATATAATTTTATCTAATTTTCACAAGCATAATTGACATCCGAAAGAATTGGTAATTGGCCTGGAGGGTTTTCTTTTAGAGATGATGATTCAACATATGCAGATGATGAAATTAGAGAAATTAGTGAAGATGGTGAAATTGAAGAGATCTTGAATGAACCTTTGTCTGAAGGTGAATATGTCAATGACTCAACTCTTTACAAAGGCAAATTGTTTAAAGGCAAGTGTTTCTGATATTTTCAATTGGGACTACAGTAGGGATGACAGAGAAAAGGTTGGAGTGAGAGAGATGAAAGAGAAAGGATTGAGAGGAATGAGAGAGGTGAGCAAGGGTTT